GTGGTTGATTTTTTCTATGTGTAGTGCCTCTTTTAGGAGCTCTTGTAAAGCAGGCCTGGTGGTGACAAAATCTGAGTACTTGCTTGTTCGCAAAGGATTTTATTTTTCCTTCACTTCTGAAGCTCAGTTTGGCTGGATATGAAATTCTGGGTTGAAAGTTCTTTTCTTTAAGAATGTTGAATATTGGCCCCCACTCTCTTCTGGCTTGTAGTCTTTCTGCTGAGAGATCTGCTGTGAGTCTGATGGGCTTCCCTTTGTGGGTGACCCGACCTTTCTCTCTGGCTGCCTTTAGTATTCTCTCCTTTATTTCAACCCTGTTGAATCTGACGATTATGTTCCTTGGGGTTGCTCTTCTTGCGGAATATCTTTGTTGTGTTCTCTGTATTTCCTGCAATTGAGTGTTGGCCTGTCTTGCTAGGTGGGGGAAATTTTCCTGGATGATGTCCTGAAGAGTATTTTCCAGCTTGGATTCATTCTCTTCGTCCCCTTCTGGTACACCTATCAAACGTAGGTTAGGTCTTTTCACAGTCCCACATTTCTTGGAGACTTTGTTCATTCCTTTTTACGCTTTTTCTCTGATCTTGGTTTCTCGTTTTATTTCATTGAGTTGGTCTTCGACTTCAGATATTCTTTCTTCTGCTTGGTCAATTCGGCTATTGAAACTTGTGTTTGCTTCGCAAAGTTCTCGTATTGTGTTTTTGAGCTCCTTTAATTCATTCATATTCCTAAGTTATCCATTCTTGTTATCATTTCCTCAAATCTTTTTTCAAATCTTTTTTCAAGGTTCTTAGTTTGTTTGCATTGATTTAATACATGATGTTTTAGCTCACAAAAGTTTCTCATTATCCATCTTCTGAAGTCTAATTCCGTCATTTCGTCACAGTCATTCTCCATCCAGCTTTGTTCCCTTGCTGGTGAGGAGTTTTGGTCCTTTCTCGGAGGCGAGGTGTTCTGGTTTCGGGTGTTTTCCTCCTTTTTGCGCTGGTTTCTTCCCATCTTTGTGGATTTGTCCGCTGGTCGTTTGCGTAGTTGCTGTCTTTTCCATTGGGTCTCTGAGTGGACACCCGGAATGTTGATGATGAAGTATTTCTGTTGCTTGGTTTTCCTTCTACCAGTCTAGCCCCTTTGCTGTACCACTGCTGAGGTCCGCTCCAGACCCTGCTTGTCTGGGGTGCACCTCTAGCAGCTGTGGCACAGCGAGGGATGCTACCAGTTTCTTTTTCTGCTATCTTTGTCCCAGGATGATGCCTGCCTAATGTCAGTCTTTTGGATATAGAGGGGTCAGGGAGCTGCTTGAGGAGACAGTTTGTACTTTATACGGGCTTAATTGCTGAGCTGTGCACTCTGTTGTTCATTCAGGGCTGTTAGGCTGCTATGTTTGTTTCTGCTGCAACAGAGCTCATTAAAAAACCTTTTTTTTTTCTCAAATGCTCTGTGTTGAGGGGTTTGGGCTTTATTTTTGGATGTTCGATGAGGTGTCCTGCCTAGCTAGAAGGTAGACTAGCCACTGTTTGGCTGCCGAGGCTCTGCCCTGCTGTTGTGTGATTCACCCTGTTCCTGCAGGCTCTGCTGTGGTCTCCGCCACACCCTGCGGCAGAGTCTCTTCGTTGTAGCATGTTGCCTCAGCAACGGCAGGGTGCGTCAGCAGTGGGCGTGTATCTCAGTAGGGACGGGTTGCCTCGGCAACGGCTGGCTGCGTCAGCAGTGGGCATGTATCTCAGTTGGGGCGGGTTGCCTCGGTAGTGGTGGATGCCCCTCCCCCACAGAGCGCCTTGGACCGTCTTCTCGGGATAGTTTGAAATCACGGTTTTGTTCGTCCCACTGGGTATCCCAAACGATCTGTCCCTGCAATCCCCTGGGCTGGGCTACTGTCCAAGTCTCGTTCAGTCTCAAGTCCAGCCCTCTCAAGTCTCAGGTTGCCGGTTCAACAGGGCACCCAGACATGCGCGCCCTGTGGGGATTGCTGGGTAGGGCCGGCTGCTGCCACCCCGGCTGCTGGCTTCGCCAGGCAGACCTACTGCCTGGCGTCCCATGTCTTTTTATACTTGAGAGTTTCCCCGTTCTGTGGGCAACAAAGATCAGTCTGTAAATGCAGCTTTGACTCACCGTTTGCGGATTCAACACGAGCTCCAATCCTGGGTTGTTCTCACAGCACCATCTTGAGTCCTCTCGGTATGCCTTTCTTAAGGAGTTTTCAAACATGTCTCACTTTGTCAATCAGGTTGGAGTGCAGTGGCAGAACCACAGCTCACTGCAGCCCTGACCTCCCACGCTCAGGTAATTTTCACACCTAAGCCTCCTAAACAGCTGAAATTACAGGCACATGCCACCAAGCCTGCCTAAAGCATCCTCTTTTCAGAAATGTCTATTCAGGTATTTTGTCCATTTTAAAAATCAGATATTTTTTTCCTATGGAGTTATTTGAGCTCCTTAAGTATTCTGGTAATTAATCCCTTGTCAGATAGTTTTCAAATACCTTCCCCCATTCTGTGGGTTGTCACTTCACTTTGTTCACTGTTTCCTTTGTTACGCAGAAGCTTAACTTGATGTGACCTAATTTGCCCATTTTTCCTTTGGTTACCTGTGTTTATAAAACATTATGCAAGAAATATTTGCCCAGTCCAAATTGTGGAGAGTTTTCCCAATGTTTTATTTTAGTTTTGTATTTGAGGTCTTAGATTAAAATCTATTTTTAGCTTTTTAAAAGACAGAGATACTCCATTGCCCAGATAGTCTTGAACTCCTGAGCTCAAGCCGTTCTCCCATCTTGGTCTCCCAAAATGCTGGGATTACAAGTGTGAGCCACCCCGCCCAACTTAGATTTACATCTTTAATCTGTTTTGATTTGATTTTTGTATAAGGTAAGAAATAGGGGCCTGGTTTCATTCTTCTGCATGTGGATATCCAGTTTTCCCAGCACCCCTTACCGACAGACTGTCATTAACCCATTGCATGTGCTTGGCACCTTCATAGAGAATGAGTTCACTGCAGATGTATGAATTGGTTTCTGGGTTTCTATTCTGTTTCACTGGGCTATGTGCCCATTTTTAATCACAGTGCCACGCTGTTCTGGTTACTACAGGTGTAGAGAGTAACTTGAAATTAGATAATGTAATTCCCCCAGGTTTGTTTGTTTATGCTCAGGTTGACTTTGGATATCCTGAGTCTTTTGTAGTTGCCTGTATATTTTAGGATTCATTTTTTTTTTTTTTTTTACTTCTATTTCTGTGAAGAACGTCATTGGTTTTTGCAGAATTGTGGAGGTTCCACATTGGTGGTCTGAGATCAGACCTAAAGGAATTCTCTAGATTAATGGACACAGACTCGCTTCTTCACTTACTTTCCCACAAATGAAGTCTCTCTGTGCTAAGCTGCCTGGAGCTGGGAGAGGAGTGATACAAGCACCCTTATGGCCATGACTTCTTGGACAGCATTAGGTCTGTCCAGATGGCACTAGGAGTTGCAGTTCTTGTGACCTAAACAGTCTTTCAGGTTTATTAAGAACCCCAGACTATTTTATCCCATGGCAGCCAGGCTTTCATCACTCAAGTTCCAACCATGGGGATGAATAATTCCCCTATGGTTGGGGCTAGTCTAAATGTTTTTTCTTTGGGTGCATTCAGCTTTGTTTTGCTTTCTGCTATGACAAGGCAGCACTGAGTTCAGGCAAAGTCCCGCAGCTGCTGTGCTCTCCCTTCCCCAAGCATGTAGCCTCTCTCCTTGCCACAGGTTCACAGTGGTGGCATCAACAATTCGAGACAGTCTTTTCTACGCTGTTCAGTCACGTCATATGAACATTTAAATAATTTGCAGTTCTTCTGGAGGTGCTTTTTTATTTAGATAGTTGCTAAAGTTGTTATTCCTGTGGGGAGCACAATTGGCCGAGACTTCTATTTGTGACTGCATACATCCTAAATCACAGTCTTATCTGGAGTAATAGGCAAATGTAAAAACAAAGAAACAAACAAAAAAAAAACCTGAAATACTAAAAGCTCTTGCCACAGCCTGAGGATCTTCATCTTCATATGCTTCATATGCTTCCATGTCATCAAGAGGTGTTCCTTCAGATTTTCCTAAGTGTCACCCACAAAGCCATTCTCGCTGTCTAGCGGACACTGTGAGAGCCTGTGCTGGAAATGCCTCCTTGGTGCACCCTATCAACCAGCTCCAAGACCCTTCCCTTCACAGCAGTCATGAGGCCAGAATGAAAGACCCATGAAGCTCCTGTTTCACTGTCATGTTGCCGTCTATGAGCAACCCCATGATTTAGCAAGATTTTTTGCATTCTCACAGATAACTTGGGGCCCTCCAAGTGCTGCTGTGGTTGCATTAATGCCCTGGGAACCTCCTGAGTGTGGTGAGCATTGGGTGATGCCCCAGCAATGTTTCTCAGACTGCCTGAGGGGAACACTGGAAGTTCTAACTCATCAGCCAAGTGATGCAATGCTCCTAATTCGGAGAGGACAGGGGCACAGGGAACTGTGGCTATTCCGTATCTCAAGGTTTCTATAAAACGGATCTTTAGAGAAAAGTGGGAGAACACCGGCAAACGCAAATACACAATGTATGGCTAAGGGTGAAGCTATACTTCACAATGCAGAGGCCCCAGACCTATCAATGGGCAAACAATTATTTCAAAGACCAGATGTGCGCTCCTCACAAAGAGACTAGAACTTGCAGACAGCTTGTAAAAGTCGTAAGAAAATTGACTGTACTATTGTTTCTCATTGTACACTGGTAAGATATTTGCCAAAAACATTCACCAGAAAAATACTTTTCCATTTATGAGATTACAATGGCAATTTACCAAGACCTACCAATGAATAGTGAAAAATATGAACTATTCTTTTAAAACTGGAGAGAAAGAGTGGTGTTTATGCCCATTCTTATTATCTACATAATGTAACCTTTAAAAGTATTTCTCAAAGTGTTTAAGTTTATGGGACCAAATATAATATTCAAAAATGGTTAGAAAGTTCACAAAAACCATACAAACTTACAGATCGTCAACTGTAGTTTCCTCAAAGTGCCTGCATAAGTCCTTATTGCACACAGCCACATTGCTCCCAACCTTGATGACAACAAGAACGGCTCCGAGGATAATCCTCCTCCAGGTGGTTGAACAAATGTAGACATGAGCACACCGTATAAGTCTTTGGATGTACACCTGCAAAACAGCATTGGCCTTTGATTTAACTCATTTTAAGTGCTATGATAACTCTTATGAAAAAGCAGAATACTTCTGGTTTTGACTAGAAAGATGCCTTTTATTCTTATGTTCTACAGAGACTTTATCAGGTTAAGTAAGGGGCCATATCACAATCATAGCCCAAATATTTGTTACCTACTCTGCCCACCAAGGTAGATTAAAACATCCAAAAAACAATGAACCGAGGGCAGAAGCTCTCAATCACAACATATATGAGAATTGCCTGGGGATACACCCTGGGACTCAGCTTAGACCTACAATGGCATGCATTCCTGCCCATGAACCAGATGCTCTTGTTATTGTTCTTCATTCCAAGCCCTCCACATGCCCTGGATGTGAGCACACTGCATGTGCATGTGTGCACTGAAGTGTGGGGGGAGAAATCAGAAATCCCTCCTGCTGCCTTTAATAGCAATTGTTCTGTAATCAGAAACCCAAGGCAACATTTAAGCCATAATGATGATTCAACTCTAATGTGTGTACTTCCTGTCATAAGTTTCTCTTAAAGTTCTGAGATAATTTCAGAAAGCTACTTTCACTTAAAATCAGGAACATACTACCCTGTTTACAAGATTAATTTCTTTTTTTTTTTTTTTGGAAATAGAGTATTGCTCTGTTGCCTAGGCTGAAGTACACTGGCTTAATCTCGGGTCACTGCACTCTGCCTCCTGAATTCAAGTAATTCTCCTGCCTCAGTCTCTGAAGTGGCTGGGACTACAGGGGCATGTCACCATGAGTGGCTAATTTTTGTATTTTTGGGTGAGACAGTTTAACCTCGTTGGCGAGGCCACTCTACAAGACCAATTTCTAAAGATGCTTTATAAATAGGAAATATCTTACCATAGTTATGATGGCATCAGCAACCTTTAGCTTTTTTACATAAAACAGGGTACGAATAAATTTGTAAATCATTTTCTCTGAAGGATCATATACAATGTATAATTCTGTTCTGTACTGAAAGAAGAAAGGATGCAATGTAAGTATCCATTGAAGAGGAAACCTTAAGTGCTCTTAAGACAGCAGTGTTCACATTTGCACCCATGTACCATTTACAATGATTTTGATTGGTGAGACGTCTTTCAGTTTTTACAATATGAACAGTGGGATCTTAAAATATCATAATAATTTAATACTCATCAACATTAACTTAAAAATCATATGAGCTAAAGGGCAGGAAATTTGTTTTCTTTTTTACTCTTTGCCCCACATAATTCTATCCAAATGTAAGCTACCCTTAGGCTTTAATGCCTTACTCATGGCATGTCATTCTCTGCAATAAACTTTGAGAAAATACAGTTTCCTGTAACCATGAGTCTCTAAGCCTATGCTGTTAAATACAATAGTCACTAGCCACATGTGGCTATTATGTACTTGAGGAAGTGCATTTTTAAATTTTTATAACATGTAGGTTGATTTAAACTTAAATTATTTTTAACTCTTCATAAATGTCATGCTTCTGTGTTAAAAGTATTTACATATACTCATATTGCTTGATGCTACTAATAACTGTCTTTTGAAAGATACATTTTCTGTTATTTTGATAGTAGATTTACTCAGACTAGTTCACTCACTAAACAGAGCTGCAGATCAGTTCTTATTCTAACACATTCTTTTTACAACACCTAAGAGGACTAAATGCAACACAAAATGGGGAAAATTTAAAGACAGCTTTGACATCAGCATGAAAGAAATACAAGTCTATGATAAAAATACAACCTCAATAAAAGTGCAACTTACTTCCAATGTGTATGCATGTTCATCAAATACTTTGAAAGACATATATCCTTCTCTATAAAATAAGAATGTGCATTACTTCAGAAACTGTTAATATCTTAGCATAATACCTGTTTAGTATGACAATGCCTCCTATGTGCTTTGGTGTTTACTTCACCAAAGCCAACAATTTTTACAAATTCTTCTCCTGGATCCCACCCTGCAGAATGTTTCCTGATCTCTTCCTCAGCACATCATATCCTGCACTGTGAAGTCTTTTCCACAATAACCAGTCAGAACTGCCTATAGGTTATTGACCCTCCCGAACAGGCAATGGCAATAAACCAAACATATTTTCTCTCTTCTTCACCATACACTGAAATGCAAGAATGTTTTACAAAGCAGTAGTGGTGGGCAATAAAGTCTTTAGGACTTTCATAAATGTAAACGTGATTCCGATTTCCTAGCCTCCTTTCTTTTGAGTCCTCTGTAGTATACTTTCATGATGAATTTATTTATTTTCTGTTGTTTGGATTAAAAACTCATCTGCCCTTTTGTTTTAAAAGAGGCTAGTCTTTGATTAACTTTAAACTTTGTAAAACTCATGCATTGTGTCTTTGATTAACTTTAAACTTTGTAAAACTAATGCATTGTGCCTGTGTGATAAACCAGTGGTTCTCCAAATGTACTCTGTGGACCTCTGGGGATCCCAAAGACCCTTTCGGAGAAGGCCTAAAAGGTCAACACTGTTTTTTTTCTTTGTTTTTGTTTTTCTGAGATGGAGTTTCACTCTTGTTGTCCAGGCTGAAGTGCAATGGTGGGATGTTGGCTCACTGCGACATCTGTCTCCCGGGTTCAGGTTATTCTCCTGCCTCAGCCTCCTGAGTAGCTGGGATTATGGGTGCCTACCACCATGCTCAGCTAACTTTTGTATTTTTAGTAGAAATAAGGTTTCACCATGCTGGCAAGGCTTGTCTTGAACTCCTGACCACAGGTGATCCATCTGCTTGGCCTCTCAAAGTGCTGGGATTATAGGCCTAAGCCACTGTGTCTGCTGGACACTGTTCTGATAATCATACTAATTCAACCTCAGAAAGTTGATACAATTTTTTTTTTTAATTAAGAAAGTAGTACAAAGACACTGACTACTTTTTCATAAACACCCACCATAACTGTATAAAAGCAAAAATGGATAAACTGCTGGTTTCTCAGCCTAAACCAAGGCAGTGGTACCAATTACATTGATGGTAATTCTGTTCTTTATTGTCCCTTACAGTTAAAAAGCAGTCTAAAGTACTTAAGAATGTCTTTGTTGAGGTGGTAAAAATTAATGGTGTTACTAAATCTTGATATGTCTCTTCAAAATTCTGAATCAGTAGAAAGCTAAGAAGAAGCACTTCTGCTGACTGCAGTATGGTTGTGTTTAAGAAAAATTCATGATTTAATTGTGAGCTGAACAATCACTTTTTTCACAGCACATCATTTTTATTTAAAAGTACTACTGTGCCGGTGCAATGGTTCACACCTCTAAAATCCAAACCCTTTGAAAGACCAAAGCAGGCAGATGGCTTAAGCTCCTTCAAAAGTTCGAGAGTAGCCTGGAAAGCATGGTAAAACTCTGTCTCTACCAAAAATACTCAAAAATTAGCCAGATGTGGTGCCACACCTCTGTGGTCCCAGCTACACAGGAGTTTGAGGTGAGAGAATTGCTTGAGCTGAGATCATGCCAATGTACTACAGCCAAGTGACAAAGTGAGACTCATTCTAAAAAAAAGGACAACTACCATTATCAAAAATAAATGAACATGTGTTCTCAATGACAAATTAAGCTTTCCTGAGGACTTTGAAAATCTCGCTCCTTCTACTGTAGGCTTGACAGCTTTTCAACACTTAAAGACTTTTAAAATAATATTGGTGGTTAAAAGTGATTTTTGACACAATAAAACATAAACCAATATATTCCAAATAACTAATGCATGATAGTATAAATGCAAGTATGGGGGAAAAGATCCATTTACCATGCAAGACAGATTAGTGAGTACTGATTTTAAAAAGTAGCACCTGTCAAGTTTTCACTTATTATTAAATACCCACAGCTGTCTCAAAGCTTTAAAAATGCACCTTTTACCAACTACATATTTGCATGAGATTAGGTCATGTCATTGCTTCCCTTTTTTGACTACAGGCATGCACTGTATTTTTAGTAGAGATGGGTTTCACCATGGTGGTCAGGCTGGTCTCAACCTTCTGACCTCAAATAAATCTGCCTGCCTTGGCCTCCCCAAAGTGCTGGGATTGCAGGTGCCTCCCACACCTGGCCATCTTATTGCTTCTTAAAGAAAATTGCAAAGAAAGACCTAGAGAATCCAATTGTCTTCTATTAAGTGTGACATTTGGGGTTTTCAATAATATAAATACATGACACACTTTTTACTCTACTTTTTGTTGTAGAAAATCTATTTTCTCATTTAAAAATCTATGTTAACAATATTGTTCTCAAGTATTTTCTGTTGTCACAACCTGGGTCATGGGTTACTACTGACATCTACTTGGTATAGGCCACCAGTGCTGCTAAACTTTCTGCAATGCACAGGACAGTCCTTGTGAAAAAGCGTTATCTAGTTCAAGACAGTAACAGTGGTAAGGCTGCGAAATCTAAACTAAAAATAGATTTTGAAAAAAAAAATCTCAATTTTATAGTTCTATGACAGTAAATATCAATATCATCAATATAAATACATACTCTTTGAGATTCCCAAACATTTAAGAATTAAAAGTGTTAAGGACCATAGAAAACACAAATAATTTGCTTGGATATTTTAGTAGGCCCAATAAAGCTCTCAATGTCCAGAGCTGTGACCTAAAGGGCTTGATAGCTTGCAAAGTAATTAGCCAGAATAATAAGACAGTTTTTTAAAAAGCTCACCTTTTCTTGATAATAAAATATAAGTCCAAGGCGACACTGTGGAAGGAAAAACATTCAATATAACAATAGATATTATCAATTGTTAGGTCTAAAGACATTTTTTTTAAAGGGTGTGGTGGAAACTCTGTTAGTGGCCCTGAAATTAAAACCTTGTATTTCAGAAAAGTACCATAAGGGCACTTTGTTTTCATTTCTTAGGTTTTAGCAAAAATATGAGAATAAAAATGCAAGGCAATACAATACCCTGTTAGAAAACATGTTTCTGTTGATGATTATAACTTATAAATAATAACATATTTCCCTGTTATATGTTCTACCCACAAAACCTTTCATCACATGCAATTTATTTTATGTATTTATTTATTGTGTGACCCAGAGTCTTCCTCTGTTGCCCAGAGCAACCTTGGTTCACAACCTCCACCTGCCGAGTTTAAGCAATTCTCATGCCTCAGCCTCCCAAGTAGCTGAGACTACAGGTTGATGCCACTATGCCCGGCTAATTTTTGTATTTTTAGAAGGGATGGGTTTTTGCCATGATGGTCAGGTTGATCTCAAAGTCCTGGCCTCAAGTGATCTGCCTGCCTCAGCCTCCCAAAGTGCTGGGATTACAGCTTGAGCCACCACACATTGACTCATGCAATTTTTGTCTATGTGTACATATGTTTAAATTTCAGCCACACATTGGTGATTTCTTTTTTAAGATGTTAGGCCCTGCATTTTAGTTTAGTTCACTATCTCCTACTCACCCATTTTTAAAATTATTTCCCAAAAAATGCATAACATAGTGAAAGTGCTTTATAACAAAATTATTTGAAATTGCTTTTGCATAATTATTAGAAAATGTATCAGTAAACATAAGCTCACATGACATCAATAATAGGTACAGCAATCCTAAAATAAGCAGTGCTAACAAAATAGTGTAGCACAATACAGTGTAATATCAATGGCAGGTATCTTCAGTTAGTTTAACTGAAATATTTATGAACATACACAACTCTTCAGATATATGTAACTGTATTTGTAAGTTACCCACTGATGCTGTGTTTCAGAAAACAAGAGGTTCTCTTACATAAGTTATGTGCTTCCATTTTCCCTCATCATCGACAACGAAGTTCAAAATAACTGAGGGAAGGCAAATCTCAATTTTAATAATACGTCAATACAATATCAGCACTTTTTAAAAAGCCTGTAACATTAGCACTTCAGAGGGATACGTCTATAGTGCGTTAAGTAGTTTTCATCTCTGAAAAAATTTTAAAATCACAGAATTTGAAGTTATATGCTGGAAAGGACAAATGACCTTACAAGACATTTAATCCAACACTAATTTTACAGGTCAGGAAAACAAATCTTAAAACTGACTTGCCCAAGGTCCAAATAGGAGCAGTTTCTTGCCCTGAACTCAAATTAGGCAGTGGCTCTAAATTTTGCTGCACATTAAAATCACCTCAGAAGCTTTAGTAACTGCCTGATTTTCAATAATAAGCATTGGATATAACTTTGGCCATCAGGGTGGTTGGTAAGTTTCCCAGGTAATTTCAATGTGCAGCAAAATTTGAAATGATTGAGTTGGGGTGAAAATCAGAATCTTCTGGGATTCTTTTCTTCACATAAAGATGCTATGTTTTCCTAAAAGGCTTCTCAGTGCCTGGAGAAAGAGGGAAAGTGGAGATTGGAGGATACATGTATTTATTTGCAGACATGTATTTTGAAGACAAACTTTGCAAAAGTGATCCCAATGAGTTCCACCTATCCCACTGATAACAGTGCACTACTAACTTGTGATGAACATTTTTCAAAATCTTTTCCTGAAGCCAATTTGCCCTATTAATTTGCTCAATAAACCTCTATTTCACCAAGAGTGAATACACCAAATGATCATTTCTCAAATTTGCTTATGGCAAATTAAAACTTACTTTTGAAAGTAGACTTCTAAAAATTAGAAGAATGAGGAAAAAAGCATGAAATTTGTTTGAACAAGACTATCTTCAAAGCTACTTTGGCATGCTATGCTAAAACATAAAAATCGCTTGAATTCAAAAGCAGCCAGGGACTTCAGCCAAAGTAGTTTGTTTTTTATGCTCAAAGATTTAAGAGAGACAGCCAAGTGTGGTGGCTCATGCCTGTAATCCTAGCACTTTTGGAGGCAGAGGTGGGTAGATCACCTGAGATTGAGAGTTCAAGACCAGCCTGACTAACACAAAGAAACCTCAACTCTCCAAAAAAAACAAACAAAAAAAACAAAATCAGCTGGGTGTGGGGGTGCATGACTGTAATCTTAGCTACTTGGGAGGCTGAGGCAGAACTGCTTGAACCTGGGAGGTGGAGGTTGTGGTGAGTCAAGACGGTGCCATTGAACTCCAGTCTGGGCAATAAGACAAGAGGAAAACTCTGTCTCAAAAAGAAAAAGAAAAAAAAAAAACAAGAAGAAAAAGAAAAAAAATTGAAGAAACTTGGCTGACTACAGACATTTAGTGATTACTCAATAGGTCCCAAAGTTCAGCAACTAAGACATAATTTGATTCCAATTTGTGCTAAAACACAATTTCATCTCAACTATTGTTATAAGGGAGGGAGGAAAGTGACATTATGAGTGTAAACCTGCCATTTTTAATTAAAGTAAAAGTTACTGAAAATTTAATTTGCTAAAAAGGCTAGTGCATTCAAAACAAAATTGCTTATAAGATAGCTAGTTATATTTCTAGAATGAAAAGGAAATTTAAACATAAGGACATTAATATTCTAAATTAGCACTTTGCAAACTGTGCTCTAAAAATCAACACTCATAACCAAGAAGATGATAATAATGTACCATGGACAGCCCCTGTGGTGGTGTTGGTGGTTGTTCCTTTTAAAAAATAAACTTCATCTCAGAGTGCTCTCAAAGTGCATCTTTGTGGCCCATGAGGAGCTCATGCACAATGGGAGAAATTCAAATGCAGATACACTGTGGTGCCAGAGGAGAAAAAACTGTTCCTTCTTCTAAGACTAATGTCCAAAGTAGTACACATTGACTGAGGCCTGCAACGCATTGAAAAACTAATTTTTCACAAAAAACATTCAATAAAGACAACCTATTCTTCTCACTGCATTCAATATGCTTTTAAGGCATGAAGGCATCAAATAAATAGCAACACTTTTTCTGAAATTGCTTATTTGCTAAGATATTTTTCCTTCCACCATGATGCAGAAGATGAAAAGAGAAATTGATACTTAATATTTAGAGTCTGGTATCAACATAGAGTTGACTCCAATTTCTTAAACTGATTGAAGAGGACAATCAAATGGCTGAAATAATTTTAATCTGTCCCTTGGCAGTATAGTTGTACTCACGATTTTAGTGTCGTTTCAAAATGAGGGCAGCTGGCTGTGCTGTCTTCAAAGAAAATTGTCGAGCATGAACTGAATTTCAAAGAAAAATGATCCATATATATCTAAAGAGGAAGGGAAGGATAAGGTAAACTTATCAACGTGTGTTTCTTTTTTCTCAGTTACAATGTCAAATGACAAAGCACTAAGAAATTTCTTACACTCCATGAACTGCCTGAGTGTGATATCATGTGCACTGTATAGAAAAACCAGGGGAGGCTCTTAACTTCCAGTGATGATACTGAGATACGGGTTAGAAAATGCTGCTCTTAATATGCTACCTGTCATCAAACCTAACAAAGATTTTATGAATTCTCTTTCTATATAATGACAAAAGTTTAAAATACAATTTCATTGTTTTTTCTACCACGATATAAAGCAGCTGAGAATTTCTATTAACTTATTACAATAAAATGTATTGTATTAATACTGGTACAAGAGAAATTTATTTCTATGAATACAAGACTAATGTATTTACAAACTTACTAATCCTACATGTATTATTTCAGGCAATATGGTGACAAAATAGGTGTTTCACATTCAGAGGTTCTGTGTGCCAGGGTTGCTAGGCCACCACCAAGTGAGGAAGCCATAGGTTTCTCTAGTCCTATTTTCTCATGTGGAGGATAAAAAGATTATCACTTAAATATTCTCTCACACCCTGAAAACAGATAACAACTTAAAAAATTTAACTTTCATTTCATGTTTAAATAAGACTGCCATGACATGACTCAAATGAAACTCTCAGAGAATATTTGCCATTCATTTCAAAAGTTGACTGATTTCATTCTATAAATCATCTGACCTGCACCTAGGCATTTTCCTGCTATACCCTTGCTCTCTGCCTAGAAGACTGTTTTTCTCTCTCCTTGTTTCAGGAAGCTTGATTCCATCTACCTTCCTGGATCTTTCTGCCAGCAGCCACACACAAAAAGTTTTGTTTTTCACCGCATATTCTCACTCATAGGCGGGTGATGAAAAATGAGAACACATGGACACAGAAAGGGGAGTACTAAACACTGGGGTCTATTGAGGGGAAAGGGGAGGGCCAGTGGGAGGGGGAGGTGGGGAGGGATAGCCTGGGGAGAAATGCCAAACGTGGGTGAAGGGGAAAAGGAAAGCAAAGCACACTGCCATGTGTGTACCTACGCAACTGTCTTGCATGCTCTGCTCATGTACACCAAAACCTAAAATCCAATAAAAAATTAAAAAAAAAAAAAGTTTCGTTTTTGTTTTTTTATACACTAATCAATTTCACCACTGGTTACAAGATACTAATTCTTGCTGAGTATTCCCTCATGAGAAAGTATGCCTCTCCATAAGAATAAGGGAGGGCTCTTACTCTTTCTACCTCCAGCTGCTGAGCACAGAATTTTGAGTAAATCAAACACTTAAACAAGTATTTAATAAATTAATTCAGTTATAATTTGGAAAATAAGTCTTACTAAACTTAATTACACCAAAAACACTCCTAATGGTTTACTGTTTATAGGTATTATTTAAGGTAGTGAACAAAAAAAAAAACAAAAAACAAATAATCTAACTGCAGTCAGCATGAATAAAGAGTGTAAAATTTTATGATCTTTAACAAGAAGTGGAAGGGATTATATAGTAGGTTAACAACAAAAACTAGAAAATAATTACACCTAGTAATTTAGTAAGTCAAAACCAAAGGCTTACAATCAAAGGTCCATGTAGAGGTCTTTCACTTCCTTGGTTAAGTCTATTCCTAAGTATTTTATTTTTGCAACTATTATAAAAAAGGCTGAGTTCTTGGTTCAATTCTCCGTGTTTGCGGTTAGGGTATAACAGAGTTACTGATTTGTGTACGCTAATTTTGTCTCCTGAAACCTTGCTAAATTCATTTATCAGTTTCTTGGAGCTTTCTGGGGGAGTCTTTGGGGATTTCTAAGTATAAAATCATATCAGCAGCAAACAGTGACAGTTTGACTTCCTATTTACTGATCTACATGCCCTTTATTTCTTTCTCTTGGGTGATTGCTCTGGCTAGGTCTTCCAGTACTAGGCTGAATATAAGTGATGAGACTGGGGCATCCTTGTCTTGTTCCAGTTCTCAAGGGGAATGCTTTTAACTTTTCCCTCTTCAGAATTATGTTGGTTGTGGGTTTGTCATAGATGGCTTTTATTACATTGGGGTATGACCCTTTGTATGCCAATTTTGCTGAAGGTTTTCATCATTAAAAAATGCTGGATTTTGTCAAATGCTTTTTCTGTGTTCATTAAGATGATCATGTGATTTTTTTTTCAAATTCTGCTTATGTGGTGTGTCACATTTATTGACCTGTGTTATGTTCAACTATCCCTGGATCCCTGGTATGAAACCCATTTCATCATGGTGATCTTTTTAATATGCTGTTGGGAAGGACAAAACATTGCTGAATGAAATGATGGACACAAACAAAAAAAGACATCTTTTGCTTATGAATGAATAGTATGAATATTGTAAAAATGAGCATATTGCCAAAAGCAATCTACAAATTCAATAAAATTTCCATCAAAATACCATAATCCTTCTTCACAAAAGTAGAAAAAGATAATACTAAAAGTGATATGGGACCAAACAAGACTCCACATAGCAAAATCAAAATTAAGCAAAAACAACAAATCTGGAGGCATCAATCACATTCCCTAATTTCAAACTATACTATAAAGCCATAGTAACTAAAACAGCATGAAACTGTTATAAACACAGGCACATACACCAATGGAACAGAAGAAAGAACCCAGAAATAAACCCAAAAATTTATAGCCAAATGATCTTCAACAAAGCCAACTCAAATATAAAGTGAAGAAAACAAACCCTATTCAACAAATTATGCTGGGATAATTGGCAAGCCATATGCAGGAAAATGAAACTGGATCCTCAACTATTACCATACACAAAAATCAACTCAAGATAAATCAAGCACATAAATCTATGCCTGAAACCATAAAAATTCTAGAAGACAACCTTGGAAAAACCCTTCTAGACACTGGCTTAGGCAAAGACTTCACGACCAAGAACGTAAAAGCAAATGCAACAAAAACAAACAGGTAAGACTTAACTGAAGAGCTTCTGCACAGGGAAAGGAACGATCGGCAGAGTAAACAGACAACCCACAGAGTGGGAGAAAGCCTTCACACTGTTATATATCTGACAAAGGGCTATTATCCAGAATCTACAAGGAACTCAAACAAATTACAATTTACAAATTTCAATTACAGAAATATGCAACCAGCCCAAATGCCCAAAAGTCAATGAAGGGATAAAAAAATGTGACATACATGCATATATTTTATATACATATTATATATATGATGGAATACCACTCAGTTACAATAAGGAATAAATTAATGGCATTCCCAGGAACCTCGATGGAATTGGAGATTATTATTCTAAGTGAAGTAACTCAGGCATGGAAAACTAAACATTGTATATTCTCTTTCATACATGGGAGCTAAGCTACGAGGATGCGAAGGCATAAGAATAATACAACAAACTCTGAAAACTCAGGGGAAAGTGTGGGAAAGGGTGAGAAATAAGACTACAAATCAGATTTAGTGGATACTAATCAGGTGATGGGTACACCAAAACCTCACATATCATTACTAAAGAACTTACTCATGTAACCAAATACCACCTGTTCTTCCCAAAACCAACCGAAATAAAAAATAAATAAACTACAGCAATCTTCTCAGCAAACATAAATGAAATAAAGTAAAAACTAAAGTTTACATTTTTCTCTCTCCTTTTTGGCAGGACAAATTTTAGGCATGTCTTTAAACTATTAATAACTTTTTTCCTTTTTCTGAGACAAGGTCTGACTTTGTCACCCAGGCTGGAGGGCAGTGGTGCAATGATGGTTAATGCAACCTCAAACTCCTGTGCTCAAGCAATCCTCTGCCTCAGCTGCCTGAGTAGGTAAAACTAAAGGCATATGCCACTATGCCTGGCTAATTTGTTAGTTCACCATTTTGTAGAGATGAGGTCTTGCTTTGTTGACGAGGCTAAAAATAAACGTATCTTAATTAACTTAAATATTTGTAACACTGTGAGCATTCATGAAAAAAGCTCCATCTATGTTATGAAGTAATAAGATAATATGACAGCATATGAAGTTTGAATGAAAATAACAAACAAGGCCTTAGAAGACAACTGTAACAAGCTTATTATAGATACATCACTAAAAAATTGTCTGGGTTAATATCATTAATGATATTAAAATTAAACTTTGATTTGTGCTTTAATATAGGTCCTAAATTTGGATTAAATATAATAGATTGATCACAAACTTATTTCCTCTCCCTCTAGACATCTCATTAGTCACAAAATAAAGGTGAAGAGGTTGAAAAGAGATAATTTTTAATAAATGCTGAGACATAAAAAGTAGATAAAAGAGTGGTAAATAACACAGAAGCACAACTATGATGCCTCAAGAAAGTGACTGGAGGCCAGGCTAGGAGGTTCACACCTATAATCCTACCACTTTGGGAGGCCATGGAATTCAAGAACAGCCAGGCCAAGATGGTGAAACCCCATCTCTACTAAAAATACAAAAATCAGCTGGCTGTGATGGCAGTTGCCTGCAATCCCAGCTACTCAGGAGGCTGAGCAGAGAATTGCTTGAACCAAGGAGGCAAAGGTTGCAGTGAGCTGAGATGTCACCACTGCACTCCAGCCCAGGTGACAAACCAAGACTGTCTCAAAAAAAAAGAAAGTGACTGCAACAGAAGCGAGCAGTTTGTCTTGTGGAACTAAAGGTGGGCTGTGAACTTAGAGGCAAATAGCACTTTAAAAAGTAGTGTAAAATATAAAACAAAGTCACCAAGTTCAGTTGGAAATCTGTGGTTACAGACTCACATCCACCTGTTCTCCCATCTGATAAGAAACTTAGATATGTGTTCCCTGGATATACCAAACCTGAGAATTTCTGGCTCCCAACTACCAAAGATTAAACCTGAGATATAAAGAAAACTATACACCAAAAATGGAACTCCAACTTGCTTCCCTAACTCTGCTTTTGGGAAGCAAGTAGTCAGGCAGAAACTTAAAAGAACATTCTCAAGAAACTAAACTGTCTTGAAGAAAGATCCCCAGGTAATACACTGAGGTCTCCCAAATGAAAAGCTAGTTGCTTCCACAACCTCACACTGAGTGCCATCAGTTAACAGAAGTCCTGCTTCCAAATCAAGCAAGCAAGCCAGGGACCACCACACATTGGAGTAAAGCCTCCAACAAGAGAGACTAAAACAACACACACACAATTCATGGGACCAGTCAAAATCAGGAGCAAAACTTTTTTAAAAATGTTAAAACTCTCCAAAAATATATATAAAAAAAATTGAAGGGAAAAAATTGGAAACCAAAGCAGGTCTACTGGTCTAAGCAGTGTAGCGCCTGAGTAACATGACTATCAGAAAAAAAGAACAGAGAAAATAAAAAACATTCTCAAAAAGAGAGACTCTGCAGACTTAGTAGCTTCAGTAAAATGAAAAGATCCCCTGCCACGCTGTTATTATGAAATTTCAGAATCTCAGAGATAGAAAAGCTCCAAAAAAGCTTCCAAAAACACATAAAAACGTGGTTATAAATAACGTGTCATGCAATGGCAATAGATTCAAGAAAACAGGGTGATGAGAGCACAATTGCAGAATATCTTCAGAACCATAAAATTTAGATTCAACTTAGAAGTTTACGCTCTATCAAGGAAGAAGAATTTTAAGAGCACAATTGCAGAATATCTTCAGAACCATAAAATTTAGATTCAACTTAGAAGTTTACGCTCTATCAAGGAAGAAGAATTTTAAGACTGGTCAGATCTCTAAACATCTCTGCCCAGGAACGTGTGCTTAAGTACAGCTAGAGAGGATAACAAGACAGAAAAAAAACACAGAATCTAGGACTCACGTGATCCCACACAAGGAGGCAGTTATGTGAGATTCCCAAAAGACTTAAAAAAGATAGCACAGATAGACTAAAACATCAAGTATATCTAGGTAAAGCCACTCTATACTAAACTAGGATGACAAAAGGCCAAAGAAAGGCTGCCCACCACCCGCCAAAAACAAAGAGGAACAGATATGTTTTAGCAGATGGAAAATATCTTTGAAAGGCATGTGATAAATGCTACGACACTTGAGTGTGTGTGTGGGTAATCAGCTGTTAGAAAACAGGCAAATGAATATAGTCAGAAAATCAGCTTCATGCTAAAAAATAATGGATGTGAAATGTAAATTATATGTAAAATATAATTTAACAATTATTATTTTTCAATAAAGTGACAGACCATCCAGAGGCTACGTATTGCATTTGGCTGGATAAACCAGCATAGGCCAGGAAAAAAAGATGATCCAGAAGAAGTGCAGAAGTGCTCAGATTTCAGAACTGTTTCAGAGAAAGGATGAAGGGATATGTAATGAAGAGACACCGTGAAAACAACATATAACTAGGCAGTGAATAATATTTGGATAGTCATAATCATGTCAATATTACTGATTGAATTAAAAAGTGTGCTACAATTGAAAGAAACAGAGGGAGAAAAATAAGGTCATGGTTAGCAAGGAAGATAAGCTTTCACCTGCTGTGACAGAGGGTCAATAGACCATACTGACAATTAACTTAGCTCTTTTTGTTGTTTCATTAAAAATAAGACTAAATATTTAAAGCAGATCTTTATACCACAACCAAGTATTGAAATTTAACTTAAGTGTCAGAAATCCTTAAAAGGTGGGCACAATAAGCTGAAGACTTTTTGGGATAAATTTGATAGGAAAGAAGAAGAGATTCAGAAAATCCATGAAATGAGGTCCACTCTATCACCACTGGGTTCGCATTATAATAAAAAGTAATCAAAACAGACATACGTTTACATCAAACTATCAATTCCTCAACTTTTTGACTGTTTACTTACATGGTTTCTACAGCTGTTTTCTCCTATTTCTTGTGCTAAGAATAAAAGAAAAAAAAGGTCACTTCTGACACAAATAATATAAAATAAAAGTAGTTGTTAACATCTTACTGACTACTCCTATGTACAATCAGAGAAAATTCCATGTAGAAAAATTAATTTCAACAATTTATAATTTAAATTTTCTGGCATGATAAATCTCATAAAGTAAAATACAAAAGCTCAGATTTATTTTTTGACCTGGTTTACTTTCTGTTTTGTTACATACAAGTGAAATAATGCTCATGTAAAAAAAGGCACAAAAATTAGGCCAAATAAAAAGTTTAGCTAACTAAAAAATTTAATTGTTGCATATATGAGCCATGATCCGTTAATATTCTCCCATTCTGGATTTACATATAGCTTAATTACCAGAATCTAAGAGCTGACAGCTCTAAGAACTACTTGCTGGCCAGGCACCTATCTCTAGATGCATCAGAATCCCTGTAAGCCTCTCCAACCACAATTAGTGGTCATCTACTAATATGTTGCTCCAAAAAAAAAAAAAAACAAACAAACAAAAATGGGGTCTTTACACAACTGAAAAGTAATCAATTTTAAATTTAATCTTTTGCTTTTTTTTTTTTTTTTTTGATATAAAGGAGTCTCCCTCTGTCACCCAGGCTAGAGTACAATGGTATGACCTTGGCTTACTGAAACCTCTGCCTTCGGGGTTCAAACAATTCTCCTGCCTCAGCCTCTGAGTAACTGGGATTAGAGGCGCAACATACCATGCCCAGCTAGTTTTTGTTTTAGTAGAAACAAGGTTTCAGCATTTTCGTCAGGCTGGTATCGAACTCCTGACCTCATGATCCACCCACCTCCACCTCCCGAAGTGCTGGGATTACAGGCATGAGCCACCACACCCAGCCAAATTTAAATATTAGAAAAAGTAAACAAGTTTGGATATGGTGTCTGCAGCAAAAAAAAAAAAAAAAAGGCAGAATAGTAAGAGCTTTAAGAGGGATTTGGGCCTTGCTTTGTTTCTTATACTGCCTCCACCTTTAATGCTGGAAGGGCCTTGTAGGCAAACATTCCCATCACTGAAGTGTGAGGGACATGGAATAGCTTTTCTTTTTTCTGCTTTCATGCTCTCCAAGTGTGATAAGCCCATGTCTCTGGAAGTGGAAAATACACCTCTGATATGGTTTGGATATGTCTCCCTCTCCAAATCTCATGTTAAAATGGGACCCTTAATGCTGAGGACAAGGCCTAGTGAGAAGTGTTTTGATAACAGTGGAGCATTCCTAATAAATGGCTTGGTGCCATTCCCATGGTAAAAAGCAAATTCTCATTTTGGTATTAAACCAAAATGAGTTTTTCTTTTTGTTTGTTTATTTAAACAAAATGTTTTATTGAGAGAAAGAGAGACAGAGAGAGACAGAGAGAAACAGAGAAGAGAGAAAGCTTCCATGAGAGAGTGTGTGGAAGTAAGACCCCAGAGGGAAAATCCAGGAAAAGACCTCCGACTATGTCAGATAATATGAGTTTTTCTAAAAAGTTTTTATAATACATCTGATCAAACAAGATTTTTCACTCTTTGTCTTGGCAGAAAAAACAACGTTGTCTCACTACCTGTTTGGGATTTCCTCGTTTCAGAAGGGTTGGACTCCAAAGCCCTATCTGTAAAGAGAAAAAAGAAAAAATACATAATCACTTATAATAATTCATCAACTCATTTATTCAAAAAGGAAGCCAGCTCACTACCTCTACTTTTATTCTTATCCATTGGGAAAAGGGACAAAGAATTAAACATAAAGATAAATCCAAGACTCCTCCACTACATGACAAATTGTGTTGATAAAAAGATGGGAAAATCAATGAACAAAAAGTTGACATGTTTTCACTAACATAACAAGCAAAGTATATCACATGTTAAAAAAACACAAGTGAATATGTAAAAATTTTAGAAATTTAAACAAATATGAGTTTTCCTAAACACTTTCTATTATACACCTCATCAAACAAGAGTTCTCACTCTTTTTCCTGGTGGAAAAAAATATTGTCTCACCATCTGCTAGATATTTCTTTCCTTCTGGATGATCAGAAGGGTCGGACTCCAAAGCTTTATCTATACATATACGGAGAGAAAGGAAAAAGTATGTAATCCCTTATAACAATTTATCAACTCACTTATTCGACAAGGAAGCCATTTCTACACCTACTTTTATTCTTATCCATTGGGAAAAGGGACAAAGAATTAAACATAAAGATAAATCTAAGACTCCTCCACTACATAACAAATTGTGTTGATAAAAAGATGGGAAAACCTATGAACAATAAGTTGACATGGTTTCACTAACATAACAAGTAAAGTATATCACGTTAAAATAACACAAGTGAATATGTGAAAATTTAAAAAATTTAAACCAATATGAGTTCTGCTAAACACCTTCTATTATACACCTCATCAAACAAGAGTTTTCACTCTTCTTCTTGGTAGAAAAAAACAATGTTGGCTCACCAACTGCTTGAGATTTCTTTGTTTTTGGATGATCAGAATAGTCTGACTCCAAAGCCCTATCTATACAGAGAGAAAAGAAAAAAGATGTGATCGTTATAACAACTTATCAACTCATTTATTTGATAAGGAGGCCATTTTAATACCTCTACTTTTATTCTTATCCACTGAAATAAATGTATAGAAATACGATGAGGCCAGACGAGCTGGCGCAGGCCTGTACTCCCAGCTACCCAGGAGGATGAGATAAGAAAATCCCTCAAACCCAAGTCTGGAAGTTAGGCCAGCATGAGTGACATAGTGAGACTTTTTATTTAAAAAAAAGGAGGTAAATGTTCCCTTTAAATTGTGTAAAATCAACTTTGCATAAAATAAATCAAGATGGCAATACATTTTAAAAGCGAGACCTATTTTATAGACAAAGTATAAGATGTATTCTGGAGTTTAAAATTTTTTTAAAAAGTAAATTCAGCATATTTTTCACTTCCACAACATTCTGAAGACACAGAATATTAGCTCTGTTGAGCAGCTGTCTTCCATAGTCATGTGAGATCTCTGTCTTCATTTCTTCATTAGGAATACATAGGGAGAACATACACAAGTCTTCTTTGTATTGGAAGGGGCCAAAAGAGACATACATAAACTGTATTGTAATCCTAAAGAATAGCAATAAAGAGCCTTTTTTGTTCTTTAATCCAGCACCACCCATCAATAAACTGATGTGTAAAATCACACACAGGCTTTCCTTACACCAGCAACCAGAGTATAAGTTTACACAAGTACTTACACATTTTGTTTATAAAGGTATAATCAATTCATATATTTGTTTATTCAAAATTCTTAAACATCTTGAAAAGTGAGTACAGTACTCCAAGTTACAATGTCACATTCATCATGAACTTTAATTATTCTACCTCTGGAAAAAACCAAGAGCCCAACCAATGTTGTTTTTTTTGTTTTGTTGTGTGGTTTTTTTTTTTAAGTTCTGAGATACATGTGCAGAACGTGCAGCCTTGTTAGATATGTATACATGTGCCCTGGTGGTTTGCTGCACCTATAAACACATCTTCAAGGTTTTTAAACCCCACATGCATTAGGTATTTGTCCTAATGTTCTCCGTCCCCTTACACCCCACCCAACAACGAACCCCCCAGTGTGTGATGTTCCCCTCCCTGTGGCCATGTGTTCTCAACTAACACGATAGAGAATATGTGGGGTTTAGTTTTTGTTCCTGTGTGAGTTTGCTGAGAAGGATGGCTTCCAGCCTTTTATGCTTTATGTTCTTATCTTTGAACAAGATGCTATTGTCAGGTGGGGGAATGACAAACGGGGAGCCATGGCAACAAACACTCTTCCACAGTTTTAACCTTCAATCTTTATGTTACATGTTAAGTCTACATTGACGTTTCATGTCTTTTGAAAGTTTTGACCACGAACCATCCGTGCCTCTCTTTTAGAACAAGGAGGTAAATAAAGTCTGTTAAGTCAACAGAATAAATCTAGAGACACATTTTGTCAAAGTAAGAATTTTAAACTCATCAGAGCCTCACAGGCAAACTCCTTTGGAGGAAAACAAACACCCATTTTTCTGCAGCCCTGGCCATGAAATTTCATACCTTTCACAATTATTTAAGCACCCTCCCATTTTCTTTCCTTTTGCATTCAAATTACAGTTAGAAAAAAATAAGCACCTATCAAGGTAAGAGATCGAGACCATCCTGGTCAAGATGGTGAAACCCCATCTCTACGAAAAATACAAAAAATTAGCCAGGCTTGGTGGTGCGCATCTGTAATCCCAGCTACTCAGGAGGCTGAGGCAGAATTGCCTGAACCCAGGAGGCGAAGGTTGTGGTGAGCCAAGATTGCACCATTGCACTCCAGCCTGGGTAACAAGAGTGAAACTCCATCTCAAAAATAAAAATAAAGAATATCCTATCATCTCTCCCATGGTAACCTCAATCTGATTGCAAAAAAGAAATCCCCAAATATTTCAGCATGAATTGTCCTGAGATTTAGCTACTTTAATGAAGGAAATAATTAGGCACTTACCTGGTTCCTTCACTTAGGTACCATCTGGATAAGTACAAAAAAGAATGAGATGGCTACTGGAAAGTTGGTGTATTTGAGTTTTTATTGAAAAAAGGAAGAGATATTCCAGTAAAAGCCTCAACAAAATCCCACAGAATAATAAACAGAGCTACAGACAAGGAGAGACATAAATAAATGGTCCCAGGCCAGCCTGAGAGAATGAGATGAGGGAGCAAGAACTGGCTGTTTGGGAGGGGAGGAGAAAAGAAATTGACTGGACTCCGTGGAGAAAGACTAAGTGGTTGAAAAAGGAACACAAGGCAGACCCAGCCTGTGTTTCTGACCAGCCCTGGAAAAGCTGGCTACAGGCAAAAAGGTGCCTGGGGTAGGGAATGGCCCCCAGGGAACCTTGAAGACAGCAGCAGCCAAAGGGGTGGCCAGGGCGTATGGCACCATCACCTCCTTACCTTCAGGCATCTCCCCATCACAGATGTCATGCACAGGAAGGTCCTCACCAACTTCAACAGTCAACTCGGCAGGTTCTATGGCAGCAGCAGTGGGTGCTGCTGCTGTCGTGTCCAGCTGTTGCTTCACAGATTTTTGACTCTGGAGGACACCCTGACACCTCATCATCGTCCGACTTGGGGCACACACAGCAGCACAGTATGTTCCCCATGGGGAACCTCTACTCCTGTCTGCTGCCACCTGTGCCTCCGCTCACAGTGTTGGCCAGGCACTCCTGCTGCCCTAGGCTGAGGCTATGCCACACTTTCAGAGATGGTCTTGCCCGCTGCTCACCTGCCCACCCCACAGCCCGGCCCCAGCTGGGGCTCGGGCTGAGGCCCGCACCCTGCTGCCTCTCCTAAGTTGACTTGTCTGGGAGGGTCAAAAACAGCTAATTTAATAGGTTGGGAACCCAACAAGCGCTGAGTGATACAACTGCCTGAAGAGTACAAAAGGAGCTCCTCCTCCTGCAGTCACCTACAGACTGAAGCCCACTGGCCCAGGTGGAAGCCCAGGCATGTGATTCACAGAGCCCTGCCACACACCTCACAATGCCTCACCCTGGCTGCCACCTCTCCCCCACTGCCCGAGCTGCCCCACCCTGTGGCTTATGATGCCACTGCTCTCCTGACCCCTCCTTCAGTGCCAGTAGAACTAAGGTTTTCATTCATCACCCACCAGCTTCCTGAGCTTTTTAGTCCTAAAAACAGGGTGGCTTGTTACTGGAAGTCATTTTCCTCTAGGAGTTCTATACAAAGTGGCAGTTAGCAGAGTGGCTCCCATTAGCAACCAAGTTGAACTTTTATTTGTTGACTAAATGTAGATAAACCTGAAATATTCCTCTCCTGTCTTTCAATGAGTGGTAGTTTTTGCCTGCAACTTGTCCACAGCAATCCCTGGGGCCCTAGCTCTACTCTCACAAAAGAGTTATGACTGTGTGTTTTGAATACCTTAGAACCCATCCTGCCTCCACCTTCTTCTTTAGAAAATAGAAACCTAACTTGTCCTTCCAAGCTCTAAAGTGCTGAAACTTACCAACTTCCTTTTCTCCTGTTTCTTCCTTCCATGGCAGGGACTTTTAGATTTTCTCTTTTACTAACAAACCTCTAAGTATGACTTTGTTATACAAAATAAAGAGCCATTAGGTGGGTTACCACAGTCCTAACTCAATAAAAATGAATACTGAACACCTAGCAAGCAGTATGCGCCTGATGGTGTTCCAAGTGGGCTATGCTCATTGAGCCCTCAGAAACAATCTCACCAGTTTTAGAGAAGACACTAAGATGGAGAAGGTAAGTTATCTCCCCAAGGTCACATGACTGCCCAGGCTGGGGCCATTATTTGATCTCAAGTAGTATGAATTCCCCAATTCCTTAAGTGTGATTATCAGAAAGTGCATTATTCCATTTTCACACTGCTATAAAGAAATACTTGAGGTTGGGTAATTTGCAAACGAAAGAAGTTTAATTGACTCACATTCCACATGGCTGTGGAGGCCTAAGGAAACTTACAGTCACAGCAGAAGGGGAAGCAGTTACTTCTTACAAGGTGCCAGGCCAAAGAGTGTGAGCATGTGGAGGAGGAACTGTCAAACACATATGAAACCATAAGATCTCATGAGAACTCACTATCACAAAAACAGCATGTAAGAAACTGCCCCCATGATCCACTAACCTCCCACTGAGTCCCTCCCTCAACATGTGGGGATTATAAAAATTACAATGCAAGATGAGATTTGGGTGGGGACATAACCAAACTGTATCAGAAAGTACAGGTAGAAGTCAAGCTTGGAAGGGAAGTGACATTATAGACTGGTATATTTAAAAAATAATTTTTAATGTAAATTTTAAAATGCCTTCTCTTCATTCAACATTGATGAAGTCCCTTCTACATGCCAGACACTGTATGTGTGAAACAGTCCCAAATTTCAGTGAGGGTAGGCAGATACACAAAGGCTTAAGAAGTTCAGTATTCTGAGATCACACTACTGGACAGTGTAGGAATCTGAGATACAAACCCACCTCTATCTGACCCCAAATTTGACACTGTGGTGGTTTTAATTTTATTCTGAAAATTTGGGTCATTGAACCATACAAAGGTGAGGAGTCTCTGTCAGATGTGTGTGTAGTGGTCTGTATAATAAGGAAAAACTAAAGGAAGCAACAGACCAATTAAGAGACTATCTAAAGGAAGACTGATGCAAAAGGCAGTGGCAGTGACAAAAGTGAGGGATAAGATTTTGTGATTACTGGGGAGACAGAATAGGAAGTACTTGGTCATAAGATGTGAAAGCAGAAAAGTAGAGGGAAAAACAGGGCTGCTTGGGCTCTGTTGGGGAAGACTGGGTACAGAGTTGTACTTTCTCCTGGCAGAGAACATAGGAAGAGAAATAGATAAAAAGGAAAAGACAGTTTTTTATGCTTAGTGTCACATTAAAATGAAACTCTCTGGTCAAAGGTGAATATAAATCTCTGTAGGCTAAGTCCATTTGTGACATCCCAACATATGTTTTTAAAAATAACACACATACTAAATCAAACCATTTAGAGTAATGGGAAATTTCCTAAAATTTACATGCTAAGTATATCACCATTTTTTTCTTACTTTCATGGAGCAACTCTGAATCTATGGTTATAGCAAATGAGGGATCTTACAAAAAATAAAACTAATATTTTAAATTTAAAATTCTATTGTCCTCAGCGAATAGAGAAAGCAACTGAAGCCATGGGCATGGAAGTGATTGCCCTGAGAGGTTGTGTATACTAAGAAGAACTAGAAAGAAAGAAGACCTGGAGAATAGGGGGATATACACAACATTAAGCAAAGCTTGCAAAAGTGAGCACTTGGAGTCAAGAGACTGGCCTTTGAATCAGGAATGGCTGCTTTTGTGAGACACTGGAAAAAAGATGATGTCTGATTTCATTTCTGTAACAGAAGCACCTAGCTTTTACACTTTATAGTAAAACACTGAAACATATATTCATGATAGTAAGGTGTGAAAAAGCTTCAGAGTTTAAAAAATTGGTAACAATAAAGGGAAAACCTACATAATTAGACCATATCAAAATTGGTAAGTTCTATCACCAACAGACACTATTAAAAGATTTCAAAAGCAACTCTCAGTAGATAATATAATCTACATATATAATATGTAAATACACACATGTATACAAACATCTACATATTGACATAAAATATGATTTATATCCAAAAATATCAAGAATTTTTACAAATCATTAAGAAAAAATACAAATAACCCAACAGAAGACATATGGCCCAATAAACATATGTCAAGGTGCTTTGCGAGAAGTTTTCGAAAAATACAAGACAAAATCTCAATGCAATACCACTATACCACTCCAGAATATCAAAAATGCAAAAAGGCAGAAAGCACTAAGTATAGAGAAGAAGGTGAAATTTCTGTAACATTCATTTACTGCCAATGAAGAGTGTAAACAGGCACAATCACTTTGAAAAACTGACAGCATCTTTATACATCAGCATAGCCTATAACCCTATAAAATGTGTAGGAATCTCTCTCCTACACATTTTTTCCAACAAAAATGAATAAATGTTCACCAATAAGAGCATACATCAAAATCTTCACAATAGTGTATACTCTAATAGCCAGAAACTGGAACCAACCTAAATGCCCATGAACAGTAAGATAAGTTGTAGTATTTTCACACAAAGGAATATGATACAACAAGAATAAAGAAACAATAACTCACAAATACATAATATTAATGAAAAGAAGCCAGACAAAAACTAGTACATGTTTATGGTTTCATTTATATAAAGTTCTTGCAGAGTAAGAGAATGACTGAAAGGAACAGGAAGGCACTGTTTCTTTTAAAAAGGAAGACTTAATATAAAAACGTCAGCAGAAATAAATAGTGGATGGAACTAAGCTGTGTCAGAAGTGACACAGTTGACGTACATTCTATCTAGTGAAAGCTCCTTATTTTGACCTGGACTGGAAGAAGCAGTGTTGTAGAGACCAAGAAAAGTGAGAATATGCTAAAGGTCTTTGGGTTAAGTTAGAGATACTATTTTGAACTACTTTGGTGGGGGGTGGCGGGAAGGACAATTTAAATAAAAATAATAAGATGGCAGAATAAAGTCCAAGTCTATCAAGAAATGCAAAATTAAAAACTTAAACTCACTAGTTAAAAGAAAAAGACAAACTGAAAATCTTAACAAAATAAACTATTTGCTATAAGTAAAAGGGTTGATAGTAAAAGAAGGGAAAAATATAAATAAAACTGGTAAGGTTTATTAATATTTGGAAAAAAAAGTCTGAAAACAAAAAGCACAATTAGAGAAGATCACTAAATAATGATGGGAAGTCCAATTCACCCAAAAAAAAACAAAACACAAAAATTCTGAACAGGTACACACCTAACAAAATAAACCTAAAATTTATACAAAACAAAAAATTCACAAAACTTCAAAGCAAAAATGGTAACTCCAATATCACTGTAGGAGAATACAACACACTGTTCTCAGCTTTTGCCATCAATTCTCTAACCGTTCTCAGACTTTGTCTTCTCTTTAGATCAGAAACACTATCTTGTTCCAAAGCACAGAATGAATGTTTTTGTTGTTTCCCATACCATATACAGAAACCTACTGAACAAGGAGGAAACTCATGGATCTTAAGGACTAACGGTCAATCCAGATGCATTCTGAACTCTTTTAGAGAAAGCTATTTTGTGATTAAATAATAAACTCAAGATTGTTAGCCTCTAAACACTGTCGGGTACTGAGTGGTACACTGCCGCCATCTGCCGGACACTGTTCATTTGCATGTCAATTATGTTTGCCTTCAAAGTCCTAGTAAGATGAAGGTCTTAAACTGTCACCTTTTCTGAGCCTCCTTTATCTACTGAGATGAAGATACTCTCTCTAGATTAAATGGTTGTATACAAGGTGTTGATAGAGGTTAAAGAAAGGTTTGTGCTATTTAAGCCTCTGGTAACAATGACTTTTTTAAATAAAAGGATTATAGGAGTATAGAAAATTATACTGCCTGAAATCCACTTGGAATTTAACATATCCATAAAGACTACCAATTTGCCATACAACTATTGGAAAATCATATTTCATATACTGAATAATGGCAACGAGTCACTTTAAATATACCAATTATACTTTACCTATGTGGCATATTATCCACATTACTTGCTGTGTTTCTTAAAATATGCACATATAAATTCAAGGTAGGTCTTCTAACACTTGCCCATACCTGGTTCCCTTGCCTTTCAGGCACACAGAAAGATTACACTTCCTGTCTTTAATACTTACGTGGGACCACATGATTAGTTCTGGTCAACAGATCATGAATGGAAGTGCCAAGTCTTGCTTGCAGGCCAATGCAAGTAATTATATGTGTGAGATCCTCTGGCACTCTCTTCCTCTGCCATAGTGATGAGACCTCAAAAGATGGTCAAGCCCCAAAATCAAAGCAGCTTAGATCACTAAAGGCAGCTGCCCTAGAGAGCTGGCCAGACCCACAACAGACTTTCTAAGAGTAAAAAACAAACTTTTACTGTGTTATCCCACTGAGAGTTGGCACTTCAATGTTGCCCCAGTAGAGCACAGGCCAAGGTTTCTCAACAGCAGCACTACTGCCATCTTAGGCTAGATAAATAATTCATTGTGGTCTCTGTCCTATGCACTGTGGGATGTTAAACAACATCCCTGCCATCTACCCAATAGAAACCAAAAAGCCCTCATCAATATGACAATCAAAACCACCTCTTGTCATTGATCTCCTCCCCACTATCTTTGAGAACCACTGACATAGATTAACCTACTAATACAGTATGTACATATGTATGGATGATGAATATATACATAAACATGTTGAGTATATTTAAGTCAAATGTCATATATTCTCATGCTTTATTTCCTACTAGGGTCAGATATTTTATAGGCTCTTAAGAAATACGAATTCCCATTTCTCAAAGTAGTAAACTCGTAAATTAAAAAAAAATCAATGATAGCACAAGTCTCTCTATAATAGGGTATACAAAACATCCCAAGAGTATATAAATCCATACATACTGTGCTGTTCATTTCAGAGGACTCATAGCTCCCAACCAGATGGACATTTCCAATGGATTCCAAGCCTTCTTCATCCACATGTATGTTCCATCAGAGTTAGCAGACAGAGTTCAAATGAAGAACAAGCTCTGTAGTCTGTATCCAGTGAAACCAAATTATTCCCAGAAGTATATTTTGTACATTCACTCCTGTATTCATTTCATTTAAAGAGAGAAAAAAAGATTATTGATTCACAAAAATATAATTGTTTCTCATGTCCTAAAAATCTAAGTGCAAATCATTTCATACAGCAGAAAAGCTGGCTCAAAAAAAAGCACTAATAACTGTAGCATTTTCTATATCCTAAGCAACGAAGACATCAAGAGGCAAAATCTTAAAAATAACCTACCGAAATATTTTTTAATAGACAAAAAGAAAATGTACTTAGTCATCTTTCACTTCTGTAATATTTCAAAAAATGTAAATAAAGCCTCATATTCCTATGTTTCCCAAGATATTTATTTTTAAACATTAACCAGGAAACTCCTTTTCCTCTGTGTACACTATTTAACTTCATAAATAATGTAGGGTACTCATAATTGCCTCCCTATAAAGAAATAAAGTTGTTCTGGCAGTCACTTTTAGAAAACATACAGACAATCAAGGGTTTGTACATGCATCTCTATGCACTGATCTGATTATACCAGGGGACAAACTGAACAAACTGAAGGGATTGGACATACCACATGTCTATATCCAATCCCTTCAGTTTGTTCTATTTTCAAGCATATGGGCATACAAACACCAAATACATTTTCTCCAGCATTTAGTAACAGGATAATCAAACATAAGAGGAAATGTTTACCAGGTATTGTTTCACTTTCTTCAGTTTAAAAAATAAATAAAGCTCCCTCTGTATGTGTATCTACAAAAATTGCTAAACAAAAAAAATTTTTTAAGATTAAAAAAATCAATCAGATTAGACATAACCTATATTATCTCATTTGACCTTTTGGTACAGCTTTACTTGTAACAAATAGCAATGATATGATACCCTAAAAGAAGAGATGGTTTGATGAATGTCATACCACTGATTGAGGTAAGTAGGGGAAAAGTCATTTAGAAGTACTGTCTATACTAAGCAGGAATAAGCCTGTGTATAACAGCCAAAGAACAACAAAGATTAGGAGTGGTTTTATTAACATTGTTTTAGATATGGTGAAAAATGGGGTATGGAGCAAAAGTCACAAGAAAAATGAATGTTACCCCACTCCAATTTTGTCTAGATCCATCCCTCCGTATAACTTATAGTACCTTGAAATCTATCTGAAGATAATCCTAAATGTAAGTTCAGTTATATTATCTAAAAGAAAGCAAAGAGACTTAAGGTTCATAATATTTACCAGAGACACTTAATGTCTATCCATTCATCAGTTTTACTGAGGGCTTTTTCATTTTCCTTGGGGGAATCAAATATATCCTGTGGTGGCACATTTTCATGTTTCTCTTCTTTGAGAGACATTTCCTCTGAAGTTATTCTAGTTCTGTTAGAGTCTTCTATATCTATAAAATAATCACTAAAGTCTTCACTTAAATCATTCTTGTCAGAAGATGACAAGGAAGACAAGGAAATGTCATCCACATCATCACTCAGGTATCTCGTTTTAACATCGTGTTTCATGCTCTGGTTGTTTTTCATTCTGTAACTTTCATTTTCAGTCAGTTCTTGGTCCTTATTAGTAGCTCTGTCCTCAGCCAAAACTGTAGCATCTTCCTCTATGTATGTCAGCAGGTGAATTTTGATTTCCATCAACTGTGATAGTCCCAGAGAATGGAGATTGACTAGATTTCAGTAGAGAGAGATAAACCATTCTATAACCTAAAGTAGAAGTTACACCTGGACCATTTGGTAAAGCCAACTTCTTTCCACCAGCAGCACAAGGCCTATTAAACCCATACCCCAAATGTTCACTCCCATTGAGTACTTCTGATTGCCGGGAATTTCTTGTTAGCATACTTGACCGTAGAGGCACTCTAATGGATAGCTGTTGGTTTTGATAAGGCTTTGTAAGATCCACAGCTCTATTAAAGGAATGTGATCTGGTTATAGATGAAGGTGGAAGGAATGAATTCTGAATCAATGTGAAAAACTTTGTGACCTTACCATTTCTTCACAATTAACAGATTTACTACTGTCTAGGGCCTGAGCTAAGCTTTCACCAGAACTGCTTCTGGTGGCACAGGAGTTTGCTCTAGGCCTTTGAATGCTACTAGCCGACCGATTTCCATAAAATCCATTCAGCTGTGATTTTGGAGTATTGACCGAAGAATATGAAGTCCTTCCTAATAATGTGCCTTTGGTAAATTTACCCAAATTAGATGGTCCAGAAAAAGACTTTTGGTTTAACTCCTCCATAGATGACACTAACATAGTGGATGGCTTTGCTAACTTTGATGTGAACAACAAAGCACTTTTCAAACCTCCCATTACCCCATTTTTATCAAACATTCTTGGAGTAGTAACATGTTTTTCAGGATCAATTATTTTACCATGTGAATTTTGAGTATTGTTAGGCTCTTCGGCACCTTGTGCACAAAGTTGGTATTTATTTGCTTTTCTCCAATTAAATGAATCTGTGAAGAGAAAAAAGAAGTACATCAAACATTCCTAAAAAAGGATAATTACTTAAATTATTATACAATATGATACTTATACTTTTATATGCAGAAAAGCCCAAAAGCTACTCAGGATTTCTATAGAACTCCTAACAAATAATGAATGCACTAATTAAAATCTTTATGTTGGAAGAAAATAAAGAACTTTTTTTTTAACTTTTACAAACATATGCTATGAAAAATGACTCCAAAATCCAGAAATAATAAAATTAAACTACCAAATTTGACTATGTCAAAAATAATACTTTCAGAGTACTTCTTCCAATTTCCAATCCAATTAATTTTTTCAATTTGGGTAATAGTCTCTCCTTTAAAAATAAGAACATGTGGAAAGCCATAGCCAGCACACTCAGGCAAGAGAATGAAATAAAGGGCATTCGGATTGAAAAAGTGGAAGTCAAACTATCTGTTTGCCAATGATATAATTATATCTAGAAAATTCTACAGACTCCTTCAAAAGATTCCTAGATTTCTTAAATACATTCAGTGAAGTCACAGGTTGCAAAATCAAAGTACACAAATCGGTAGCACACCAACAATGACTAAAAATCAAGAACTCAATCCCTTTGACCATAGCTGAAAAAAAAAAAAAAACCTAGGAATACACTTATCCAAGGAAGTAAAAGATCTCTACAAGGAGAAGTGCAAAACACTTCTGAAAGAAAACACAGACGATGCAAACGAACGGAAATACATCCCACACTCATGCATTAGCGGTATCAATATCATAAAAATGACCATGCTGCCAAAAGCAGCCTACAGATTCAATGCAATTCATATCGAAATACCAACATCATTCTTCACAGAATTAGACAAAACAATCCTAAAATTCACATGGAGCCAAAAAACAGTACAAATAGCCAAAGCAATCTTAAACAAAAAAACAAATCTGGAGCCATCACATTACTCGATTTCAAATTATACTACAAGGCTACTATAGTAACCAAAACAGCATGGTACTGGTATAAAAGTACATACATAGAGCAAAGAAACAGAGTAGAGAACCCAGAAATAAAACCAAATATAACCAACTGAACTTTGACAAACCAGACATAAAAAAATTGGGAAAAGAACACCTTATTCAATAAATGGTGCCAGGAAAACTGGATAGTCACATGTAGAAGAATGAAATTGAATCTCTATCCCTTACGATATACAAAAATCAACCCAAGATGAATTTAAGACTTAAATCTATGGCGTGAAACCATAAAAATGCTACAAGAAAACCTAGGGAAAACTCTTCTAAGTATTAGTCTAGGCAGAGAATTTATGACTAAGACACCAAAAGTAACTGCAACAAAAAATAAATGGGAAGTAATTAAACTAAAAAGCTTCTGCTCAGCAAAAAATAATCAGAGTAAACAGACAACCACCAGAATGAAAGAAAATATTTGCAAACTATGCATCTGACAAAAGACTGATATCCAGAATCTACAAGAAACTTCAACTAATCTGCAAGAAAGAAATAAAATAATCCAATTAAAAAGTGAGCAAATTACATCAATAAACATTTCTCAAAAGAAGGTATACGATGGCCAAGAAATATGAAAAAAAAATGCTCGACATCGCTAATCATCAAGGACATGCAAATTAAAACCACAATGAGATATCACCTTATCCCAGCCAGAACGGCTATTATTAAAAAGTCCAAAAACAATAGATACTGGCATAGATGTGATGAAAAGGGAACATTTATATACTGCTGGTGGAAATATAAATCAGTAACACCTCTTTGGGAAAAAGTATGACGATTTCTAAAGAACTAAATCTACCATTTGATCCAGCAATCTCACTACCGGGTATCTACCCAAAGGAAAATTGTATTTTTAAAAACACCTGCATTATGTATGTTTATTGCAGCAAAATTCAAAATTGCCAGATGTAGAACCAACCTAATTACCCATCAACTGATGAGTGAATTAAGAAAATGTGGTGTATGTGTATACACACACACACACACACACACAACCACCAAGGAGTATTACTCAGCCATAAAAAGGAATAAAATAATGTCTTTTGAAGCAACGTAGATAGATGGAGGCCATTATTCAAAGTAAAGTAATTCAGGAATGGAAAACCAAATACCATGTGCTCTTATTTATAGTTGGGAGCTAAGCTATGATTATGCAAAGGCATACAGAGAGGTATAATGGACATTGGAGACAGAAGGGGGGTTGGTGGGAGGGGGATGAGAGATTTTTTAAAAACTACATAATGTAGAAAGGTACAATGCACACTATTTGGGTGGCAGGTGCACTGAAATCTAACCTCACCACTATACAATTTATTTATGCAACCAAAAATCACCTGTTCCCTTAAAGTCAGTGAAATAAAAGTAAAAAAACATATATATATATATATTTTTTTTTTTTTTGAGATGGAGTTTCGCTCTTGTTACCCAGGCTGGAGTGCAATGGCGTGATCTCGGCTCACCGCAACCTCCACCTCCTGGGTTCAGGCAATTCTCCTGCCTCAGCCTTCTGAGTAGCTGGGACTACAGGCATGCGCCACCATGCCCAGCTAATTTTTTGTAATTTTAGTAGAGACGGGGTTTCACCATGCTGACCAGGATGGTCTTGATCTCTTGACCTTGTGATCCACCCACCTTGGCCTCCCAAAGTGCTGGGATTACAGGCTTGAGCCATCGCGCCCGGCCCCTAGAACATATATTTTTTTAAATGTATATAATTTTATAAAAGCTAGAAGACATTTGAAAAACACTAATTACTAAAGCCATGGGAAGTATATAGCTGAATAATGTAACAGTACAAAAAAAATTCTTTTGGCATTAAGGGTTCAGTAATAAGCTGTCAATTTAGGCAACTATCTCAAAAGAATTTCAATCTAGTAACATAAATACACCCTACAGTTAGTGCCAGGTTGAGAATTATAAAAATTTAATAAAGTTGATTTGTCCATTAATCTCAATCTTACACAGTTTATTTTATTTTATTTTTTGAGACAAGGTCTCACTCTGTCACCCAGGCTGAAGTGCAGTGGCATGATCATGGCTCACTGCAACCTCCACCTCCCTGGCTCAAGCGATCTTCCCACCTTAGCCTCCCAGGTAACTGGGACTAAGGGCACACAGTATCTCATCAGCTAATATTTAAAAAATTTTTTTTGTAGAGACAGAGCTTCACTATATTATCTAGGCTTGTCTTGCACTCCTAACCTCAAGCGATCGTCCCACCTTGGCCTCCCAAAGTGCTGGAATTAGAAACGTGAGCCACCACACACAACATGTATTTATTTTAAATATAACACAAAACTACAAAAACAAAAGGATTCAATGCACACAAAAGAGCATAAAGTAGAAACCACTAGTGTTCTCTATTTGAGTAACTTTTAAATAAATTATGACATATCATGTGATAAGATTATAAAGATGAGCTAGAAAAATAAAATGTTTGCCCTAATATTAACAAAAATATATGGTCACCATATCCTCACTGTAATTATGTAAGAATTCTGTAAAAACACAAACAAGGGGAAAATGGAAATTTAACGATGCCCTAGGGTCACTGATGTTTTTAATGTAGTGTATGACATTGCCTTTAATTTTTTTCTTTTTTTTTTTTAAGAGGCATAGTCCTGCTCTTTCACCCAGCTAGAATGAAGTGGTGCAATCACAGATCACTGCAGTCTCAAACTCCTGGGTGCAAGTGATCTTCCTATCACAGCCTTCTGAGTAGCTAGGACTGACTACAGACACATGCCACCATGGCCAGCTAAATTATTTTTACTTTTTATAGAGGTGGGAGTCTTGCTATATTGTCCAGGCTGGGCTCAGATTCCTGGGTTCAAGCAATTCTCCCACTTTGGCTTCCCAAAGCAGTGGGATTGCAGGCATGAGCCACTGCACTGAGCTCAATTTAAAAAATTTTGTTGTTGAGATGGAGTCTCACTCTGTCGCCGAGGCTGGAGTGTAGTTGCATGACCTCAGCTCACTGCAACCTCTGTCTAGTGGGTTCAAGTGATTCTCCTGCCTCAACCTCCTCAGTAGCTGGGATTACAGGTGCCTGCCACCACCACGCCCTGCTAATTTTTAATATTTTTTAGTAAAGAAAGGATTTCACCATGTTGGCCAGGGTGGTCTCAAACTCCTGACCTCAGGTGATCCACCCACCTCAGCTTCACAGAGTGCTGACATTACAGGCGTAAGCCATCATACCTGGCCAAATTTTTTTTTTCTATTTCACTTCTTAAAAGATTTTCTTTTTATTGCATTTTAGGTTTTGGGATACATGTCAAAAACAGTTACATACATACACACATGGCAGTGTGGTGTGCTGCCTTCCTCCCCATCACCTATATCTGGCATTTCTCCCCATATTATGCCTCCCCAACTCCCCACCCACCGCTGTCCCTCCCCTATTTCCCCCCCAACTGACCCCAGTGTGAGATGCTTCCCCCCCCCGTGTCCATGTGTTCTCATTGTCCAACATCCACCTATGAGTGAGAATATGTGGTATTTGATTTTCTGTTCTTGTGTCAGTTTGCTGAGAAAGATGGTTTCCAGGTTCATCCATGTCCCTACAAAGGACACAAACTCATCGTTTTTATGGCTGCATAGTATTCCATGGTGTATATGTGCCACATTTTCCCTGTCCAGTCTATCATCGATGAGCATTTGGATTGGTTCCAAGTCTTTGCTATTGTAAACAGTGCCGCAATGAACATTCATGTGCAGGTGTCCTTATAATAGAATGACTTATAATCCTTTGAATATATATCCAGTAATGGGATTGTTGGGTCAAATGGAATTTCTATTTCTAGGTCCTTGAGGAATCGCCACACTGTCTTCCACAAAAATTGAACTAATTTACACTGCCACCAACAGTGTAAAAGTGTTCCTATTTCTCCACATCCTCTCCAGCATCTGTTGTCTCCAGATTTTTTAATGATCGCATTCTAACTTGCATGAGATGGTATCCCAATGTAGTTTTGATTTCCATTTCTCTAATGACCAGTGATGATGAGCATTTTTTCATATGTTTGTTAGCCTCATGTATGTCTTCTTTTGTAAAGTGTCTGTTCATAACCTTTGCCCACTTTTGAATGGGCTTGTTTTTTTCTTGTAAATCTGTTTTAATTCTTTGTAGATTCTGGATATTAGCTCTTTGTCACATGGGTAGATTGCAAAAATTTTTTCCCATTCTGTTGGTTGCCAATTCAATCTAATGACTGTTCAACCCTGGCCTAAGAAGTAGAATTCCTATAATACATAAGTGTTATTAGTTATGTCAAATGTAAATACTTAGAAAATCACACAAATGTTCAAGTAAAGACAGTAGAGTGAAAAAGGACTAAAGAATGTCCTGTTACCCACTAATATGATATAAATGTATATAACTATGTGTATGTGATTTTTTTTTACCAGAAACCCAACAGCTACATACAATAATACAAAAAGCTATTTAAGCTAAGAACCTACAAACTTTAAAAAAAAGTTAGACAGAAAGAAAAGTTGTATGGTACAGTATGACTAGTAGCCTGATTACCGCCTGCAAGCAGCAGTGAGAAAGAAAGGTGAACTCAAAAACTTGAAAATTTTAAGAAATACCTCTTGTTTGGATAGGAAATTTTGATTTGTCATGCCCTAAAGAAGTTGAGGAAAATATCTTGAGCACAGAGGCTTCAAAACCTAGGCAGAGGCATCACCAGGATCTGCCAACTTCTGAGGCCCTATACTGAGTTGAGGGAAAAATCTGAAGAACATAGAAACATACTACACCCTC